AACTCTCTAACCTCATCAAATTTGACCATAGATCTTCCTTACTGTTTATATTGTTGTTGTTTTTACTTTATTTTGTTTTGTTCCTTTTTGTTGCATTTTCTTGTTGCTTTTGTAATGATCTTATTTATTGTCATGTCTATATATGGTATGTTTCTGTGGACACAGGGAAGCACATGCCACATATGTGTGGTTAGAAGACAGCTCACAGGAGTTGGTTCTCTCCATCCACCTCATTGTTGTTCTTGCAGAGGGCCTGGGTTTCATTTCTAGTACTTGCCTAGTTATTCACAACTTTCTGTAACTCTACTTCCAGGAAATCTGATATCTTCTGTCCTCTGTGGACATAAGGCACACATGTGTTACATATACATACATGTATATATGCTGGCAAAATACTTAATTGCATAAAATAAACAATTTTTAATATACCTTATAATAACATCAACTATTAATGCAACATGACTGATATTTATACAAGTAAAAATATAAAGTAGAATCTCAATTCTTCACAAAGAATGTTAGGAAATGAATATACCTGTATATGTTTTAGTGAGCAATAAAATATTTATAATATATTATATATATAGTTTAGTTTTGTGATGATGTATTATAATCAAACTTTAAGTAGACAAGTAGCTGTCATAGAAGTTTTGATTACAGAACCTTCTCTGGAGCTAAGGAGATGGCTCAGAGACAGGGCATTTGCCTATATTAGAGAGGCCTTGGGTTTGTTTCCCAGTTAGGAGAGAAAAGAAGAAGGCGTCTCTGTGTATTATCAGATATTAATATGCTGTCAGAAAATGATCTCACCTACAAAGAATAACAGGGCTTTCTTTTCATTGATTATGCAGCACTCTAGTCCAGCTCATTCCTTTAAAACATATTTGCTATGCAAAACCAATCTCTAATAGACAGTGATTCACTTTTAACATTGTAGGTATCAGAAAATAATGACATCCTTTCACTCAGGAATTACCCAGAATGTCTTAGTAAAATCAGAACCTATCAAACAACCACACTTTAGTTCTCTATATCATCCTGAACCCACCCAAGAGTCCCTGTCACCCCCACCCACCAAGCCTGTATACAACAATGAGGCATCCGCATGACTCACCCAAAATGCACAGAGGCGTCAGATCTGATTCCAGTTCTGTTACCACTGCATTCAAGCCTTGCATCCTAATGTCCTATACGCATAAAGAGCTGACAAGGAATTACACAACTCACAGGTTGCCGGGGCATCTGAAAGGAGGAACTATACTATTAATTTGTTGTTGGATTCCTGTTCTAAAGAGACTGGCATTTTAAAGGGATGCCTTGGTCATTGTTTCTGTCACAGAAACATTCCACTATTAGGCTTGGTTTCTCTAAAATCAATGCTTTTTAAAAGCATCCCAAATCAGTATGCTAACTGCATACTACAATTAGTAGCCGCTAACTTCCCTTATGACTGAGGGCTGCTGAGATACTCTGTGTCATGGTGCTTGCAATATGGAAAAGATGTGGTATGATAAAACAAGTCATCTTACCATACCAGACCATTAGGCCACCGCTGGAGTCCTAGAAATCCATGAAATCTTTTCCAGGAAGGAAATCATTCCATTCCCTCAAGCAAACAAGAATACTTTTTGACTCAGGATAGTCCTGGCGGCCTTTTTACACATGCTGTCCTATCAGTGAAAATCCCCCTTTATTTAATCTTCCCAGGGCTCCTTTCTGTCTTTTAGGTCTTCTCCCAAATATTCCTTCCTGGAATGCCATCATTAAAATACACCAAACAAATGCGAGAGTAGTATGACCTCTGTCTGCAGAGACCAGATCATGTGACCATGGTCAGGAGACAGGACCTTTTCTGAACTCAAAGAGAGAACCACTGAAATATTTTATTAGAGGGGAGTGAGAAAATGGCATCCATTTTAGGTATATGGAAAAAGAACTAAAGGAAAAGAGAAACAGAAGCAAGCAGAGCTGGTAGAAATTAGTATATCTGCCTGGCCTCCCAAGGAGCCAGGGATGACCGAAGATTGGGATAAATTTGTAGTGTGGCACCCAGAATCAACGGGAATCGCTTACAGGTCCAGTGAAGTCAGAAATAAAGATATATGCACTCACTAGCATATACCAAAACATGCGCATACACAATTGATTGAAATAAAATCCTTTTTAATTATTTTGAAAAAAAAATAGTAGTGCATGGGAGGTGTATGATGTGGTTCAACAAGGAAAAGAACTCCAGGACAGCCAGAGCTACACAGAAAAACCCTGTCTCAGCAAGAACTTTAAATCTTTAATGAAAGAAATTGAAGAAGACACCATAGAGTGGAAAGATCTCCATGCTCCTGGATAGGTAGAATTAGCATAGAAAAAAATGGCAGTCTTAGCAAAAGCAATCTACAGATCCAAAATCCCCGCAAAATTCTTCACAGATCTCAAAAGAACGGTACTCAACTTCATATGGGAAATCAAAAATATAGCCAAAACAGTCTTGTACTATAAAGGAATTTCTGGGGGCGACACAATTCCTGACTTCAAACTCTACTACAGAGCCACAGTGCTGAAAACAGCCTGATATTGCCATAAAAACAGACAGGAGGACCAAGAGAATCAAATCAAAGATCCGTATATCAATCCACACATCTATAAACACCTAACTTTTGACAAAGAAGCAAAAAAAATCAAATAGAAAAAAGAAAACATATGTAACAAATGGTGCTAGCATAACTGGATATCAACATGTAGAAGAATGAAAATAGACCTATATCTATCACCATGCACAAAACTCAAGTCTGAATGGATCAAAGACCTCGACATAAAACCAACCACACTGAACCTCATAGAAGAGAAAGTACACTTGGACACATTGGCACACAAGACTGCTTCCTAAATATAACTCCAGTAGTACAGACACTGAGAGAAATAATTAACAAATGGGACCTCCTGAAACTGAAAAGCTTCAGTAAAACAAAGGACATGGTCAACAAGACAAAACAACAGCCTACAGAATGGGAAAAGATCTTTATCAATCCCACATCAGACAGAGGGCTGATCTCCAAAATATACAAAGAATGCAAGGAATTGATCACCAAAAGAATAAATAATCCAATAAAAAAAAAAGGGGGTATAGACCTAAACAGACAACTCTCAACAGTAGAATCGAAAATGGCTCCAAGAAAGTTAGGGAAATGCTCAACATCCTTAGCCATGAGAAAAATGCAAATCAAAACAACTCTGAGATTCTATCTTACAAAATGGCCAAGATCACAAACACTGATGATAGCATATTGCTGGAGAGGATGTGGGGTGAAGAGAACACTCCTGCGTGGCTGGTGGGAGTACAAACTGGACATCACTATGGCTATTTTTTTTAAGAAAATTAGGAAATAACCTACCTCAAGACCAGCAATATATTTTTGGTTATATACCCAAAGGATGCTCAATCATACCACAAGAACATGTGCTCAACTATGTTTGTAGCAGCATTATTTGTCATAGCCAGACCCTGGAAATTATCTAGATGCTCCTTGACTGAAGAATGGATAAGAATAATGTGGTATATTTACACAATGGAGTACTACACAGCGGAAAAAATAATGACATCTTGAAATTGGTGGGCAAATGGATGGATCTTGAAAACATCCTATTGAGTGAGGTAATCTAGACCCAGAAAAATAAATATCATATGTACTCACTCATAAATTGCTAGTAAACATAAAACAAAAAAAAACAGCTTATAATTCACAATCCCAGAGATCCTAGACAACAAAGAACACACTAAGAGAGACATAAATTGATCTAATCTATATGGGAAGTAGAAAAAGACAAGATCTCCTGAGTAAATTGGGAGCATGGGGATAATGGCGGTGGGGAGAAGGGGGGGGGGAGTAAACAAAAATATATGGCTCAATAAAAACAATTTAAAAAAAATAAAGTACATGCTCCACCTACAAACTAAAAAAATGACCCTGTCTCAAAAGAATGAAAGGGAGGAGGGAGGGAAAGGAAACAAAGTGAGGGAGGGGAGAGAAAGAAAGAGAGGGAAGAAGAGGGAAAGAAAGACATAAAAAGAGAAGGCTGAGAACAAGAAGGAAGAAAGAGAAAAGCAGAGAGAGAGAAAGGAAGGAGGAGAGGAAAAAAGAGAGAGGGAGAGCGGGGGGGGGGGGGCTAAGAAGCTAAGAAAATTTCATTTACAATAGCTGCCAAAGATAAATTTCACCAAAAGCTTAGGGACATATACAAGGAAAATTTTAAGCTTTAGTGAACTGACGTTAAGAAACCACTGCTCCTTTTCAAACCCACTGTAACGTCAGTCCAGCTGAACAGCTTCTGCTTTCCAAAGCCCACTGAAGATCCCTTTATCAATTCTGCCTTTTAGCCAGAGGGATAGGTACATTCTTCAAAACCTTCAATATGGTAGCAAACCCCAGGTAAGCCATCTTCCATGCTGGTACCAGTCAGACCCCTTCAAAACCTTCAGCGGGTTACTCGACCCCATTAGAATTTTTAAACAGCTCTGTGTCTTGTTTCAGTTGTTTGTATAGGTCTTGCCTCTTTTACTATGTTATAACTATCTCAGGACAAAAACTGTGTACCTTTCATTGTTGTTCTGCAAATCATAAAACATATCTTGAGTATATGAGGCTTTAAGAAAAGGCCAGTTATAAACAGTCTTAATTAGAATAAGTCATTGTTCGGGGTACTAGCTTGTAAATTCACCGGGTTATCTCTTCTAGGTTAGTGATGATGATCTTAACCAAATTACTTTCCTTTGAGTGCACATAGACAATATGGAAGACTGTATTACAAGGGAAGACCAAATATTCCTTCCCTTGAGCAAAGAGAGGTTCTATGGTGCATCATGAAAAATCAAAGCACAGTAATAGATGTGCCAACAAGACTTCTCAAGTCATGGTTTAGTGGAAATAGTGTTTTGCCTCCTAGTCCTGGGTCCTAACTTCCTTCTCAAGTACTTAAACTGGCTGTTCTGTTGGCTTTGTTTCTAGATTACACTGACAACCATTGGCTATGGAGACAAAACGCCCCTAACTTGGCTGGGAAGATTGCTCTCTGCAGGCTTCGCACTCCTTGGCATTTCTTTCTTTGCACTTCCTGCTGTGAGTATCCTTGCAACAAGAAAGCAGCTTCAATTGGGCCCTCAACACTTCCTGGAATGAGCCCTCGCATGTCTGTGTTTCTAGGAATGGATCTCTCTCATTGACCGATAGGATTCTTCCAAAAAAACGTTGACTTTTCTAAAAGCATCCAAGTATATGGTGGAGAGAATATGGACCAGAGTCTTCATACTAGCTAACTCTGTATAAACAATAATTCAGATTCTTTTGGTCAACATGCCACTAATACATTTGGAATGTTTAGGAAGATTTAAAGATAGTTTCATTTAAATTAATTACTGCAATTTGCTTTATAATATGCACAAATGGAAAGATAGATGTGCACAGGAGTTCATTCCTCTTCCAGAACACTTGAATAAAAAACATCTGACCTTAAGTCTTGTAAATGTGTCAGATGAATGATTTATTCCTGTGTCACAGCCATTGATTTTTTTTTCTTAATGAGTAGTTTCTGCATTTTGTCAGAATGCAAAACACATTTATCTCCCTCCAAGCTTCTGACTAGTTTTTCTTCAATGGACGAAGCTGGACTCTCTGGTAACTTTAGCCTCTTGTTTCGTTAATGGACATGACATTACCATTTACCCCCTCCCTCCGGACATCATTTTTGTCCACTCCATCTAAACTGGGCATCAGGGAGCCAACAGTAAAGAGTGAGAGTCCAGGCTCAGCAGGTGCACCTAAGGAAAACAGTCTCATCCCAGCTCCAAGCTCAGGCCATGCCATGTGCAACCTCTGTCATACTGAAACCTGAACTCACATACCTGAGAAAGCTGAGAACATGAGGGTCAGACGGGGATTTTCAGTACCCAAGACGTTAGCTCTCAGTGCTTCTTCTTTGACTGCAAGTGACCTCAGAGGGCATGCTTGTTCTTCCCACACTCAGGGATCACTCTTGACTAGCCCAGACCACCCAAAGCCATGGCAAAGGGACTGCCCAGCCTGTGCCCAGACTTGTAGAGTGCACCTTGGTTTGAGGGACATTTATCACTTACTATATAACACTCTATATATTAGTTTGAGCGACATTTATCACTTACATATATCATTTAAGTAATGCTCTATATATTAGTGTGCTAGGAGTGCCATGGCAGGATACCACAGACTGTAGGTCCTCAACAGTAGAAGTTACTCTTGGAGGTTCTTGAAGGCTAGATATGCAGATCCTGATCCACATATTAGCAGGGTGAGGCCCTTCTGAGAGCCTGGAGAGAGAGAATACTGTTCCAAACCTCAGTCCTTGCGGTAGAGAGGGTCTTTACAACATTTCTTTATCTGATAAGGACATCATTTGTATGCTTAGAACACATCCTAATGATGTCATCCTAACCCCAGATGACCTCTGGTGAGGACCCTCACTATCTTCAAATAAGTCACATTCTAAAGTACGTGCAACATGTGAACTTGAGGAGACACAATTTAGCCCAGTGATTTTTTTTTTTAGTATGTTTCTTCCTTGAAATAATGGAGGAAGAATTAAGTCAGATAAGTTCTGGGCAGAAAAATGTGATAATGTAAATCAAGTGATTAGTATGCAGAAAACAAAAACACTCCCCTTCATTTGCAAAACTGTAGAAGTGTGTGGTGGTGCAGGCCTTTCACCTCAGAGGCAGGCAAATCTCTGAGTTCAAGGCCTCTCTGGTCTACAGAGAGTTCCTGGATAACCAGGGCTACACAGAGAAAAACCTGTCTAGAAAAATAGCAACAACAAAAGATTCCTGATGCAAAATGGTAATTTAAGACAGATCGGGAGCAGAATTTCCCACATCCACATCTTGTAGTTGTGTGATGTGTTTTATTTTGTTTTTGGAGACAGGGTTTCTCTGGGTAGCCCTGGCGGTCTTAGAACTGGCTCTAGCCTGATCTACAGAGTTTCCACCCCCAACCCAAAGTCAGTTCCTATAGCTGGCTCAACAATTCAGAAAAGAACAGAGAATCGATCATCGGATTCCCTGCAGGAAAATACCTTTGGAAACAGTGAAATACAATCTTGGGTTTATTCCCCAAAAGTAATGGCATAGAATACCTGCTGTTTTTATTTCACAGAGATAAATGAACTGTTAAATAGAAGCCAGCATAACAGACACTGCCTGGGAACAGGTCGGAAGACTAACAGCAAGGGCAGGACATGCAAATCTACAAGAAGCAAGCAGAGATGAGTTTTGAAAGTATGTGAAGACTTGGGGGTCAGTTAAAGTCAGAGTCAGGCCCCCTCTGAACTTTTCTCAGTGAAATGCAAGAATCCTATAAGGAAACTCTAAACCATTCCAGGGAGGTCAACCTATGTTGTTATGTGAGGTTACAGATCAGAGGCTAAGCAGTCATTAACAGGAATGTTTCTGATAAAACGTTGCCATTTTTATGTGCGAATTAAGTTAATCTATGTTATAAATCTGTAAACTGTGTTTGCACTAAACACAACATTTAGAAAACTAACAATGCCGAGAAACACAGCCTCTACTGTGAAACGTTTGACCGCGGTCTCCCCATAGGTCCTGAGTTGTCATTTTGTCTTCTATTCCTGCTAACAGTGCAGCCTGAATGAAATTTTGAGAGCAGAGCATTTTGCCGGGAAAGGGTCCTTGTTAGGGTTACTATTGCTGAGCAAAAGCACCTTGGGAACAAAAGGGTTTATTTTGATCACTCACAGAATGTGTAACCGTTGATCACGAAAAGCAGTGAGGGCAGGAACCTGAAGGCAGGAGCTCATGAAGAGGGTGTGGTGGATGCTGCTTACTGCCTGGTTCCCTAAGGCAGAGCTTGCTCTCTGCTTTCTTTTGGAAGCCAGGACAGCCCAGGGATAGCACCACCCATAATGGACCCGGAAGTCCCCATCACTCACAAATAATAACAAAAATGCCCTACAAGCTTCTCTAGAACCCCATCTTCTGGAAGTATAATTCATAGAGTTTCCCTCCTCTCAGAGGTCTTTAGCTTGTATTAAATTGGCATAAAGTTCTTCAGCACAATTGACCCCTTGTCAACTTGACACAAACAACTCCGCATTAAGCCACAACCTTCCTTTCTTATTCATCCCCAAGATTACACATTAATATTGATATCACAATCTAGAATATCTTCAAACTTAAAAGTGCTACAGTCTTACAAATTCAAACACTTTAAAACTTCAGTCTCTTTTAAAAAGTCCAAAATCTGTTTTAAAATCCAGAAGATCTTAACTGTAGACGACTATAAAATCAAAACTAAACAAAGTACTTTCTTACTTCCAGAGTGAAGAGCCAGGGGATAGTCATAATCTGAACAAAGCAAAATCAAATTGCAAATGTGTAAATAATTTAATAGCCGATGTCTGGGTTCCACTCACGATCTTCCAGGCCCCTCCAAAGAGCTTGGGTCACTTCTCCAGCTCTGCCCTCTGGAGCACACACATCTTGTCTTCTAGGCTCCAGCTGGCTCCACTCCACTGCTGCTGCTGTTGGTGATCATCCCAAGGAGTCCCTTGGTACAAGTGGGCTGCACCAATAACTTCTCCTGGGCTCTCTTTGGGGACTCCATCCTTGTCATACAGTGCCAACCCCCAGCTGTTCTCCATGACCATTCCATGCCTCCAAAACCAAGACCAACCATGTGACTCTTACACTACAAAGTTTGGCTGTCAGGATGAGATGGAACCTTGGTTGCCTCTGGAACAGGCTTCTGTGGCTGACTCTGAGGAAACACTCCCCCAGGAGACTTCATTTCAAGGATGCTGACTCTCTTAATCACAGCTCATCCTTCACCCCCAGCTACTCAGCATCCATTGTCCCAGCAAAGCAAAGGCTTCACTTCAGTAGCTCTGCTCCTCTTGTTAATCACAGCTGAGTCCTCAGCCGCAGATAACCAGGCCCTGCAGACTGTCCAGTAGCATCTTTGCCTCCTCTGAAACTTTAGAAACCAGGCCTCCATCATCTGCATTGTTCCCCACAGTCTTATCTTCCAAGCTCCTATAGATCAATTTATTGATCTCTCAACGCTCAACAATGGGTTGTCTAGGCCAGAGTTCCACAGTCCTTTCCCAGTCCTCCCCAGAACACCACGGTCAGGTCTGTCACAGCAATACTCGCTGTCCTGGTACCAACATCTTCTGTTCTGTTGCTGTGAAGAGATAACATGCGCAAGGCAATTCTTAAAAAAGAAAGTATTTTATCAGGGACTTACTTATAGCTTCAGAGAGGGTGAGTCCATTGTCACTGTGGGAGGGAGCACTGCGGCAAATGTGGCACTGGAACAGCAGCAGAGAGCTACATCCTGATCCCCAAGCAGAAATTCTGGGCCCGGCATTGGCGTTTTCAACCTCACAGCCCACCCCCAATGACACACTTCCTCCAACAAAGGCCACACCTTCTAATCCTCCAATAGTGCCTCTCCCTGATGACTACACCCTCAAATATAAGAACCTATGGGGGCATTCTTAATCAAACTACCACAAGAAGGTTGAAGAGGATTGTAAGCTTTTCCTCTTTGAAGGTCCTGCAGCCAGGAAACTCAGTGATCATGGCTTCCTGTGTTACCTTGACAACAGAAGGTCTCTGTTGTACCTTACAGGGTCAATAGGCCACTTATCCCAAGCTCCACTGTAGCCCACCCCTCTCTAGCTCCCTACATCCCTAGGCTACTTACTGAGCTTCTTGAGGCCAACCTGACTTCTTCATAGCAACCTTACACGCTGATCTTACTCCCTCCTCCCACTGGATACCCTAGCTATGAGTGGCTTTTATTATGAAGAAATCAACCTTTATGGAGATTGAATTCTTTTACATATCCAGCTGGTTTAACTCTAACACAACAACTCAATCTGCTTGACTTGAAAGGTTAATTATTCCACAAACATGTTTGCTACTATCTTTAATCATTAAAAATATTAGCAAAAATATTTGCAATGTTTGTTAATATATTACAAATACTAAAATATAGTATTAGCCAGGCAGTTGTGATGCACGTCTCTAATCCCAGCACTTGGGAGGCAGAGGCAGGCAGATCTCTGTGAGTTTGAGACCAGCCTGATCTATAAGAGCTAGTTCCAGGACAGACTCCAAAGCAACAGAGAAACCCTGTCTCAAAAAAAAAAAAAAAAGATAGATGGATAGATAAATATTAATATGTTACAAATATAAACAAAAAAGATAACAAAATATAAACAGGCATCAAAAGTCAGCATAGTTTGTTTGCTATGTTGAGCGTGCAAACTGCGCTCCTTAAACTTGAGTGATAAGGAGAGGTAAACATTTTAAATTTTTGTCAAGGTATTTTTCCCCACTTGGTATTTATGTCACATTTATTAATCTAGAAACATTAAAAACTAAAATTTTAATTCTTGTTAGTCTAAAAAAATTCGTGAAAATCACTTTTGTAAGATTTGCCTCTACAAAGGGAATGAGATCAAGATAGATTATGTGGAAAATACATAGAATAAATGAATTTTATAAAAAAGGATTTTGCACCTAGTGACCTAGTGTTGCCAGTATTTGAAGAGTTGTGTGCATATTGAAAGATGAAGCCATGTTACATCTGTGTTTATGAATCATGACTGACCGGCTTAGAGACAGTGAACTGCATGTGACTAGAAGCAGATGTAGACATAACGAGACAGCAAGCAGAGATGGCTAATAACTGCCGGAACATATGGACATGTAGTAAACAGTCACCAGTTCTAAGAAATGCCAAGTGATTTTCAGTACATTTTATTTTGCTTTATAGATATTAAATTGTACTGTGTAGGACCTGCATCCATTTTCAAAAGGGATGTAACTCTCATACACTGTGCTCAAAAATGATAGCTATTGCCATTAACCCAGTGTCTATAAACCTGAATTATGTTCAGAGCAAGTAATACACAAATATCCACTCTACAGGTATAATACATATCATAAAGATATTTTTATTTTCTCCTGTGTGTTAATGCTTAATGGGAAATGAAGTTAGAGGAAAAATCAGGCAGTCAGTCTGTCTTTCCCAAATAGCTTCATTTAACCAAAAAATAAAAAATAAAGGATTTGGAAGAGGAGAGCATTTGTGATACCAAGTGGGGGAAAGATTATTTAAATCTATAAGCCAGACCATCCAAAGCAGGTTTTTATAAAGCTTAGCTTGTGTAATCACAGCCTGTATGAGACGGAGACATGAAACAGTATAAGAACTACACTGAAGGCAGAGATAGAAAACAGAACCCATGATTTAATTGCTTGTTTCAGGGCACAGTTATTTATCTTAATTAATAATAGAGGAGGGCACTGCATACTAGTAGCAAATGGTATTATTCTACAATTCTGTATTTTAAACACGATTGCATTGCTTACTGCCTGGTTATTGTCACCAATGGGCTTAGAATTGTGAAATCTCAAGATAAGATGAAAGGCTACCTAAAGCCCCGAAATATCTCAGCAGAGTTGCCCCCATGGCCAAGACTTCATGCCTTCTAGAGATAAACAGAAACCTTTTTCCGGGAGGTACCATCTTTTACCTGACAAAGGGTGCACATTGGGCATTTCTTACCTGCAGAAGATACTGACAGCACTTAGAAGATACCCATCTCTAGCTTAAGGGTGAGACTCCTGGAAGCTTAAAAAAAAGGCTAATAATTTATAGCTAGCAAGCAAAATAGACAGACTTGAAAGCAGCGGAGTTCCCAGTGTCGTGCGAATGAAGTCAAGAGCATAGACAAAGACTGAATTTAGCAAGCTCTGAATGTGAACAAAATGTTGAGACAAAAGGCATCTTGATTGCACAAATGCCAGACCTACACAAATGGAAAAGAGAAGCAAACATCAAAGAACCAGAATTTTTGCAGTTCAAGATATTAAGAATGAAGCCAGGTGGTAGTGGTGGTGCATGCCTTTAATCTGAGTCCAGGCGGGAGACAGAGGATCTCTGTGAGTTCAAGGCCAGCCTTGTCTACAGAGCCAATTCCAGGACAGCCAGGACCATACAGAGGAACCCTGTCTCAAAAAAAAACCTAAAAATATAAAAAAAAAAAAAGAAGTAATAGTAAGTGAAAAGAAATCAAATTAGCAACAACAATAAAACACCTGGGTTTAGAAATTACTCAGCAGTTGAAAACACGCACTCTTCTCGTAGAAGTCCTGGATTCAATTCCCCAGCACCCATACCCAGGAACTTGCAACCACTCTCATCTTCGGTTCCAGGAGATCTGACTCTGTCTTCTGAAATCCTCTTACCTGCACACATGCGTGCACAAACACATACTTTAAAATACAATAAATCTTTAAAAGAACACAAAACAAACCCAAAACTGAGGAAGGTATGTTAATCTCACCAACCACAAATTTCAAATAGGTGAACCAAACCAAAAAAAAGAAAAGAAAAGAAAAAGTAAGACATGCTGAAAGCACCACATTAAAACCAAGGGAAGAGGAATAGGTTTGTCAAGGAGTCATGCTTTGTTTGGTTGGTTGGTTGGTTGGTTGGTTGGTTGGTTGGTTGGTTGGTTGGTTGGCTGGCTGGCTGTTTGGTTGGTTGGTTGGTTGGTTGGCTGGCTGATTGGTTGGTTGGCTGGAGGTTGGTTGTTTTCTGTTGTTGTTTTCATACAGATGGGCAAAACCTACAACTCCAAAACTGAGAACCCATCTTTAAGGTCCTCAGCTGGGATCGGTTTGAACCTCACCTCTATCCTCCCCAATTTTGTTTATGATGAATGTACCATCCCAGAGTCTTATCAGTGCTAAAAGTAGCCACAAGTCTATAGCAGCAAGACTTTAAATCTCCCAAATTTAAAGCCCAGTCCAGTCCAAAGCAGAGTTCACACCTCTAAATTCTATCACTTAATATCACTTGAATTTAGTGATCATTTCTCTTCCTAATCGGGATGCTTCTTATAATACCGGAAATCAATTAATGATAATGTTCAGTTGATTTACTACAGAACAAGACTCATAGTCTTAGGGCTGTATTACCCAACAGCTTGCCACTCCCTGGAAGTGTTAGAACAAAGACATATAGGGTTTGTTTTTTTTTAATGAGTAACATGTTTATTGGTCTTTTTTTGATTCATTTTAGGGATCTTTAAAATGGTATTATTTTGTATTTTGTTCCAGGGCATTCTTGGCTCGGGTTTTGCATTAAAAGTACAGGAGCAGCATCGCCAGAAACATTTTGAGAAAAGAAGGAACCCAGCTGCCAACCTCATTCAGGTAAATGTCAGCATGATGGGGAGATGGCAACATCTGTCTCTCCAGAAGTGCTTGCTCGGTCATTTTCTAGTTACCATGCTTCATTGCTTCCTAGAGTTACTTACTGTTCTGTGCTATAAAAGAAAGAAAAATAAAAAATAAAAAAATAAAGTCAAACTTTAATGAACAACCCAGAGTGTGAGCAGGTGTTGTCCCTCTCCCAAACAACAACAAAGTATGTTTTTCGGAAAATGGACTATGTGCTGTTTAGATTAATTAACCGTTACCACCAACCCTGTGCAGAGGTTACCAGCCCTGCAACTCCTGGAAGGACCCTAATTCACTTTCTGAATCGCTGTGTGAAACCTAATTGGTCATTAAGTGATGGAACAGCATGCAGCACCGTTCCTGAATTCCCATGCCTTTCTCTAGCCCGTTCTTTCCTTCGGTTGTGAAAACCATACAAGGTTTGGAATGTTGAGGTTTAGTGTCTGTGGAATTACTTTTCATGTCTTGTAGGGACATGGCCTGAAGTGCGTTAGATATTAGAGGACATATATATTAGGTAATAAACATATTGTGTGAAGCTAGTTCATTATACATCAGGTTTGTGTTAGCATTTCATTTTCTTTCCAACAGCCCAAGATTTGTGTTAACACTTTTCTAAAATATTTTACTTTCTAAACTATTTCTAAATATTTCTAAAATATATTTTCCCCAGCTCAAGGATCTAAAGTGAACATTTCACAATGAACACAATAGCCCTGAAATCCCAAGTTATCTCCCCTCCTTAGAAGCAGCTGAAGCCCCAGATTTGAACCTGAAGATGCTGGGATGCAGCTCAGAGAATTGTCTGCAGTAATGTAGCGAGCACATTGCTTTAATTTAGATCTCAGCTTTGAGTGGCTGAACTACTTGGTTGTAACCTACTGTTAACCATCCAGTTAGCCTTTCCCTAGGTCTGTGTCATGCCTTGCTTCCAATAGAAATGGAGCTCTGAAGGGGGGGGGGGGAGTGAGTGTGTAGTTTAGGTCTATCCTAAAGAAAATCTGTAGCTGGTGACTAAATTGGTTTTAAAAAGAACGCTATTTTACAACTGCTTACGAGAAGTGGGCCATTGGGTGTGAATTGCAAGGCAAACCACCAACGGTCACTATTTTCCTAATGGTTCCAGAGAGATGGCTCAGCAGGGAAGAGCACTGATTGCTCTCCCAGAAAACTCTGGTTCGAGTCCAAGCACCTCCATGATTACTCAGGTCGTTCTAAAACTACAGTCTCAGTAACTTGACACCCTCCACCGGCTTCTGCAGACACCAGGCACCCACATGATACACAGACATACATTCAGGCATAGAACCCATACACATAAAAATAAATTAATAAAACTCTTTTTTATAAGATGACAAGTAAAAACAGTAAAATTATTTTCTTGATGAAAAGGTCCTTAAGTTAATAGTAGCTTAAGCCCCATAGCCAGGAGCTAGGAATGTAGTTTAATTACGAGGGCTTCCCTGGCATGTATGAGTCCTTAGTTGAATCTCCAGTATTGCGAAGTCTTGAGCCAAGCAATGATCCCATAATGACAGAAGTGCACAGTACGGGCACACAAAAGCCTCACCGCTCTCCATCTGCAAACAGTCTTCACCGAGGCGCATGCTCTCAGATTTCTTCAGATTCGTCCTCTCTTGACTATCTTTACCTCCATCTTCCTTCACTCTAGAACAGCCCTCCAACCTGGGAGAGCACCATTTGTTCAAAGGGCTCCCAGAATCCCACTGAGCAACAAGCCCTGCATATGTATAGAACCAATAAACCATCTCCCAGATATTAAAATTCCTAGAACCTGAGCTGTTCTGCTGAGAAGCAAACCTTTGCCAGCTCTCCTGTGTACATCAGCTGTGACAACAGCGTTGTGCTGCCAACACGGTAGCCACCAGCTCCGCGTTGCTATCAAAGCTAAGCGAAGTCAAGATTAAAAAGCGATTTCTAGACACTTATCAAATGTTCGGTCCCTTTAAGGAGCCGTGAGCTGCCATGGCACATTGAACCTACTTCTAAGAAGCATGGCAGGGACTTTCCTCAGCTGCTGTGTCCTTGTCAACTACTGAATTGTGAGGAACAGTTCCCAACCAAACTTCAAAACAAATTGGTTTTCGTGCAGCAAATCATTAGAGAAGTGAAATTTATGTCTATCCCCAAATTGAGACAACCTGTAACAGGTAGAGATGCCAAATGAACAGTTTAGCTTAGAGGCCTTGAACTCCGTTTTGTACACTTGATTGTGTAACATACATATATTGTGACTAGCAAGTGAACTTGTAAAATTAAAGCAATATCATGGGGAAGTTATGAATTTTGCTTAAAATTGCCAATTGTTTGTGGCAGGAAAGAGCACAAACTACACGATTTAAAATGTTTAAGAATACCTTAAAATCTATGCTTAGTATCAGGAATCAAAAATCGAATTTGATGGATGGAAATAGAAAACACTATCCTGGAGGTAAGCCAGACCCAAAAAGAGGAACATGGGATGTACTCACTCATATTTGGTTTCTAGACATAAATAAAGGGCATTGAGCCTATAACTCGTGATCTTAGAGAAGCTAAATAAGAAGGAGAACCCAAAGAAAAACATATAGGCATCCTCCTGAATATTAACCTTCATCAGGCAATGAAAGGAGACAGAGACAGAGACCCACAATGGAGCACCAAACAGAAATCACAAGGTCCAAATCAGGAGCAGAAGGAGAGAGAGCACGAGCAAGGAACTCAGGAACACGAGGGGTGCACCCACACACTGAGACAATGGGGATGTCCTAACGGGAACTCACCAAGGCCAGCTGGCCTGGGTCTGAAAAAGCCTGGGATAAAACCGGTCTCGCTGAACATAGCGGACAATGAGGACTACTGAGACCTCAAGAACAATGGCAATGGGTTTTTGATCCTACTGCACCTATTGGTTTCGTGGGAGCCTAGGCAGTTTCGTGGATGCTCACCTTACTAGACCTGGATGGAGGTGGGTGGTCCTTGGACTTCCCACAGGGCAGGGAACCCTGATTGCTCTTTGGGCTGACGAGGGAGGGGGACTTGATTGGGGGAGGGGGAGGGAAAGGGGAGGCGGCGGTGGGGAAGAGACAGAAATCTTTAATAAAGAAATAAATTAATTAAAAAAATACTTTGACATATCCCCCCCCCAAAAAAAATCGAATTTGAGGGCTGGGCAATGTTGGTGCACACCTGTAATCCCAGCACTCGGGAGGCAGAGGCAGGTGGATTTCTGTGAGTTTGAATCCAGTCTGATCTACAAAGTAAGTTCTAAAGCAGTCAGAGCTGTTACACAGAGAACCCCTGTCTCGAAAATACAAAAACAAGATTGAATTTGATGAGGTGGGAAGTAGCTGCCCCCTCATTCCAATGAAATTTATTTACTGATGCTGCGTAGGAATAGCATGATATTCATTTGCCCATTGCGTCTCCTTCACGTAGTCTGAACAGAATCCAGGGAGTTAGGCTTTGGCTAGACATGGTAGAAATCTATTTTTTTTTAATTTAGACATGAATTTTTTAAGGATCAAGTAGGTTGAAAGCAAGCTTTGGTTGCTGATCCTTTCATTCCTTACTCCATAAACCTGCAGGTACTCTGTATATACGTAGCATCAAGATCAAAGGCAATTTCATTTGTGTTAAGGCTGAACCACGCTCTTGCCTCTGCAGCGAGTGAGATGCTCAGACTGCTTTGTCATTCGGTTGGTGAAAGAGCTAAATTAACCAGAATCTCAAAGATTTAGAAAAAAAAAAAAAAGTTGAAAAGCCCAGAAGCTCACAGCAAACTTAGCTGTGTCAATATCTTTGCATGACTCATTTAAATTAACTTTTCGAGTGGAGCAGTCTGGGAAACAAAATCAGCTCTCGGTAACGTTTTGAATACCTGCCCAAATGTCACAACTTTTATTAATAATGCCTAAGACTCACAGAGTCGTTTGCAGAGTGCTTCCAACACATTATATCACATGATCACCAAGATAAGCCTCTTCATTTGCTAGGACTAAATCCTTGCTGTCTGAGTCCAAATTCAATACTCCTTAACTTTATTTTAATTTTAGAAAATCTCATACATATATACAATGTTCTTGATCAGATCCACCCCCACTCCCTTCTTCTTACTCACCCTGTTCCCCACCAACACATCCATTCCCATCTCTCTTTCTCTCTCTCTCTCTCTCTCTCTCTCTCTCTCTCTCTCTCTCTCTCTTTCTCACACAAACACACCCCATTGAGTCCAATTAGTTATGTCCACATTCGCACCTGGGTCTTCCACTGGGATGACCGCCATCCACCCAAAGAGAAGGGATAGGACCTCCTGCCCAGTCCCTGCTGGAATTTTTAAGAGGATTGATCGCCTGTGTGTAATCACAGCTGCTGTGAGTTATTTGCCACCATCATGTCATATTCAGAGGACAGCATTTCACAGCCCTCCTCCCCATCTTCTGGCATGTACCCCCTTTCTGCCCCCACTTCTTCAATGTTGCCGGAGCCTTGGGGCAGATCAGGAATAGGGCTCAAAAGTCAACCTTGTGCCCTCCACAGGCATTACCGAGTTTCTGGGCAGGCTCCAAGAGATTCATCAGAGGCCTGTAATAGAGGCTTTTTCTGGAGATAATGAACCTGTTCCGTGTGGAGTAAAAACAAAACAACAATTCAGTGAACTTTCGTAAGCTCAGCCCTGACAGAACAGCGAGAGGAAGGCTGCAAGATTACCCTGCCAGAAAGAAGCCAACTGTTCCCAAAGAAAACAGGCTGCACATTGAAGCTTTCACTTTGCTTAGTGAAATAGCTTGGTCTTCATGAAGCCATCCTAAAGGGAGGCTGCCAAAAGCTCTGCTAACGCCCAGTTATACAAGTTGACATGCCTCTTTTCATGCTTCAATCACAGAGAAAAGATCATAGATATTAAAACATGAAAGCATAAAAAAAAAAACAGAAGGAAAAACAGGTTTGTGACATATCTCAGAAAGTGCAATAGAAAGACAAGAAAGAAAGAAAATCAAAGGACCTTTCATTGAGGTTCAAGATCCAACTAACACAGTTACCTCAAAGTACACAGAGTCTAGGGAAATTAAGGAGAGGGTTTTTACCAGGGAAATAGTACACTGTGATTTTCTAGAACTGGAGAGCAGGAGTAGCTGTAGTAAGACTCCACCAAATGCCTCGCTATGAACCAAAACCTTCATACCAAGATTATCATGGAGAGACATCAGAATGCTTGTAAAATCGGGCATCTTAAACGCTTTCAGAGCTGAGCATATCCAAAGGGTGAAGAATCAACATGACATCGGTTACCTCACTGGAAACCCAACACTTAGAACTAACTCATGGAAATAAGCCTATTAAGAAGAAAGAGTACTTGCAACCTAGCATTCTACACCAAGCCAAACCATTCTAGAATCATTCCAGGAGCCCCAAAATTTATTTACTTGCTGTCTGAGTTTGCTTCCTGTTGCTGTGATAGGGCACTTTGACAAAAAACAATTTGGGAAGGAAAGGTTCACATGTCCCTATCACAGTCCACCATCAGGGCAGAAATCTGGAGTCAGGAACTGAAGCAGAGGCCATGAAGGAATGCCAACTACTGGCTCTCTCCCCATGGCTTACTCAACCTTCTTTTTTCTTTCTTTCTTTCTTTCTTTCTTTCTTTCTTTCTTTCTTTCTTTCATTCTTTCTTTCTTTTTTATTTTCTTCCTTCTTCCTTCCTTCCTTCCTTCTCTTCTTTTCTCTCTCTCTCTCTCTCTCTCTCTCTCTCTCTCTCTCTCTATTTTTAACCTGACTGCACTTTCCCATCCTTCCTCTCCTGCTAGCTCCCCTCCCCCACGCTCTTCACTCCTCCTTTAAGGCCAGGCCTCCCATGGATATCAACCAAATAATGCATATCAAATTGCAGTAAGACCAGGCACCTCCCCTTATATTAAGGCTGGACAGGCAACCCAGCATGAGGAAAAAGGTCCCAAAAGCCAGCAAAAGAATCAGAGATAGCCCTCGCCCCCAGTGTTAGGAGACCCTAAGAAGACCAAGGCACGCAACTGTAACATATGTGCAGGGGACCTAAGTCGGTCCCATGTGGGCTCCCTGGTTGTCAGTTCAGTCTCTGTGAGCATCTGAGTTTTCTTGTGGTGCCCTTGACCCCTCGGGCTCTTAAAATCCTCTCCACCTGTTTCCTCGGGATTCCCTGAGGTCCTCCTAATGTTTGCCTCCGCTTGCTTTCTTATGCCTCCCAGGACTACTTACTTGCCCAGGGGTGGCACCACCCACCGTAGGCTGGACCCTTCCATAGCAATTAGTAACCAAGGAAATGCCCTACAGATTTGACTCTATGTAGTCTGATGGAGGGTTTTCTCAAGCAAGCATGGTGAGCCTGGAGCATCCACATGAAAATGGAACTGATAGAATCTGTGGTACATTTCCTGCTTCTTCGGGAGGGATCAGAAATGCCATAACTTTGTAGTGATTAATAAAAGCAAATCACAAAATGAAAATAAGACAATAGTGACTGCAAATAAAGCAATATATGCATACATTGTTACATATACATGAATGAATATGAAAGAAAAAGTAGTCAGAGCACTTAATGGAACTGGATATTCCCTGGCCCAACATATACACACACAAAATTGAATTACACTGACATTTTTATGCTGGCAAACTGGGAACAATGCTGGCATGGTTGTGAGAACGCATGCACTAATAACCAAAAATTGAGATATAAAAATGTTAGCAGGATGAGAGAAAACAAAGATGGAATGGGAGTAGGCTCTCTTATTGTCTTCCATAGGCAAAAACTGGTTAATACCACCTAAAACTGAAATAGGAGCATAACCCTTAAAAGTAAGGATTCTTAAAAGAAAAAAGGAGAACAACCATATAATTCGTTGACCCACCCATGGATAAATATCAGAAGGAACCTAAGTCAGCACACCACAGAGATAATTGCACATCCATGTTTGCTGTAGCGCTATTCACAATAGAAGATACAGAACCAATCTAGTCCCCATCAACAGATGAGTTAATCAGGAAAATGTGATATATGCACACACACACACACACACACACACACACAGACGTAGATTTTTGTTCAACTATGAAGAATAAAATTATGTCATTTGCAGGGGAAAAAAGGTGGGACGAGAAATCATCAGTTAAGAACAACAAACCATACTGCAAGCATAGTCCATATTTAAATAAATAAATCGATAAATATATGTATATCATAAAGGTAAACAAGAGACTATTGAGGGGAAGAGGGCAGTCATGAGATGGGCAAGAGCGACAAAGGAACGTAACAGGAGGCTGAACATGAGCCAATCATCTGATAGGCATGCGTGAAGCTGTCATAATGCAGGGCATTACTGAGTATATTCATTACTAAAATAAAATTTATATAAGAATTGAAGTGTGTGAAAAGAGAAATGATTGCTGGTTGACACACTAAGTCTTTTGGGACTGGCCTTCTAAAACGTGTACCTTGAAAATGGAAGTTCAGTGTTAGCCTATCTTTGGGTGGTCATCCGAAATATTCTGGGCTATTTTTAGAAAGAGTCAAACCAGTCATCGCTGTACTGATACAAACAATACAAACTGAACACTCCCCACACAGAGAACTCCGTGGGCTTTGTACTTTCAACTCAGGACTAAACTTCTGATTTGTTTGCCTGCCTACACTACCAGAATCGCCCAATAAATTGCAAGTTTGACTTTAATTTGCTTTTGGTTAACTTTGCAGTTACATATGCCATGTAAATTGGTTAATTTAGATCCACGGGGATCCCTGGAGGGAACTCTTTTATTTTATACTATGTGATTTGGGCTTTAAATACGGGAACATCAGGTACTGGGGCATATGAACGGGGATTTGAATTTTAACTGCTAGCATCAATTAGTGGAGCTCAAGGACAGGAGGCGGGTACTAGGAATGTAAGAGGATGTAGAAAGCCCACTTACCCGTAATGTAGACTGAGCAGGTTGCAGTCGGGAAATATATGTATACACATGCATGTATATGAATGTAACAAGAGTTAATAAAAGGAGGTGCCATGGATTTGAAAGAGAGCAAGGAGGGGTGTGTAGAAGGGTATGGGAGGAGGAAAGGGAAGGAGAGGGGAGGAGAGGGGAGGGGAGGGGAGGAGAGGGGAGGGGAGGGGAGGGGAGGGGAAAATGCTATCATTATAGTACGTTGCCCCCAAATCAAAGACATAATAAAACAAATGCAAGGATAGTAACACTGACACTTCCCACTTCCTTGTTGACTATTAACTCATCTCATAATTATGTCTTATAGATAATAAGACAATAAGATGCAATTATCTTATTATCTATAAGACGTCAGGATGCTTGGCACGGATTTCCACAGATTTATCGGTTAGATAAACACAAGCCATGTGGGCAAGCATTCAGGCAAAGAACCTTTCTTGAAAAATGTAAAATAAATAAATAAATAGCCTTTGAAAACATAAAATCCCTCAGCTTCTACTGTATGTCTTCCTAATTTTTTTCATGTCAGTTCCTGAATATTTCACTGAAGTATAATGTACAGGCAGAAAAAGAGTCCATCTCCTAGGGGAACTGAGCAGCCCTGTATAACTAGCACTCAGACAAACAAAATATGACTTCTCAGATACCTTTCTGGGTCCCTATCCCACAAGGGGTACTGCTAAGCTAGCTTCTGACAGCATAGAAACTTTCCCTCACTTTGTGGAAAGTGCTCTGTTGAGTCTTGTTTATAGTACAAGACATTAGTCACAGGAGGCCCATCCGTAGTGTCAGGCATAGTTACAGTGAACTGTTGCTATGTAGACACATTGCAGTATGTGACCATGTTACAAGACGGCTATTTACACTGCTGTTGACAGATATGTGGACCTTTCCAGCTTTAGTTTAAAAGCCAAGATGTAGTGCCTACCTTTTGGTGAACGTATTTAAGCATACCTATTATATTTACCTGGGAAAGAATGTCTATATCATAATGTATTCATACATTCAACTTCAATAATACTGCCAAGCGGTTTTTCAAAGTCGTCATAGCAATTTTTTGTCCAATTCAATGATATTCTTAGAAAACAATATAATTGGGTTACTTTTTTTTCTTCACTGTGTTTTAAAATAAAGACTGATGGTTGTTATACAGTAGGGATGTGACCCATTTAGATGAGTTCGCCTCATGAAACAGAACTCTCTAAGTAATGAATCATAATACAAGGTTTTCTATAAAAGAAATTGGAGCAAATGCTTGGCCAATGTACTTAGCGTTCTTTGCACGCTCGCAGCAAAAGAATAAATTTACCAAACTCTGCATGGAAAAGTAAGTACAGGTGATTTCTCAAATGGACAGCTCAAAAGTTCTTCCAGCCACTGCCGTAAAGCAGTCAGAAAAATTGCCAGGGGAGGTTGTGACCAAGAAACCATAGACTGAAGACACTTTCTCAACCTTCCCCACCTTGGTTGAACCTCTATACCTGACACTCAGCTATCTCATCTACAGAACAGGGCTTTTAATTCACACTTTGGTTGTAAGGATCGCATCCCAATGCTTTCTGTTTTCTACTCCAGGAATGGTTCTATAGTGTAGACAAGCCTAACTAAATAAACCCCCTTTTCATTTCATTGTATTTTCTGCTCTCTTTTGTGCCCCTCTGTGCAGTGTGCAGTGTGTTTGGCGTAGCTATGCAGCTGATGAGAAGTCTGTTTCCATTGCAACCTGGAAGCCACATCTGAAGGCCCTGCACACCTGCAGCCCTACCAAGTAGGTATCAGGGGGAGAGGTGGTGCTAGAGTTGTGTCTTTTCTAGTTTGTTAAACAATACCGTATACGTGCAGGAAAGTCCTGGTTTGGGCCTTGTTTTATTCTCTCTGTTGCTCTTAAAGGTACCTAGCCCAATTTAACAGCAATTCAACCATATAGCTACATGGAATTGGCATCATTCCTTACCAACCATAGGCCATGACTTTAGTCTGAAAGACTATAATTGTATAGAGATACGGTAGTTTTCTAATGTCCCCTCATAAAACCATAGTTCTTGAGAAGCAAGGATCACCTGACACATCACCTAATTTTACAGGGAGATTACTTGGAAAGTAATACATATGTGCATCGTAGTTCTCATCTTTAGGAAATTTCTGGATAAATGTAAAAGAGGAAGACTAGTTAGAAAGCTGATAGACAGTGGTCTACTACCATATTCAATTATCTGACTTCCCTCTTAACAGCAGTTTTGGATTGAAAGTTATTTCGAGGTCTGGAAAAATTAATAATGAGTCAAATTCTCTAAGGACCTCGCCTAGTACGTTATTCATATACTACTTTCCTCTCATTTTCCCTGTTTTAACTGGGGGTGGAGGTGGAGGAGGGTTGAGTCAAACAAGTGCCTCCTCCTGTCCCCTTGAGCCCATCAGCCATGCCTTAGCTCACCTCTCCTGCAACCTCATGTCTCAGCCCCGCTCACTGAAAACAGTGACTCAGCAGGACACTGCAGTCATTGGTACCATCAGGGAACCTGGGGTCCTGACCCAAATCACTCCAGAGATACCTCATGGCTCTGGTGGCTCATAACCGTTGTTGTCATTGCTGTTGCTCTTTGTTAGATCAGTGAAAAGTGATGGAAATGGTGGCCTTTTCCCAAGAGTAACACCCTACGCACAAAGAAGAAAAAAACCAAACGCCGCCTATAATTTTAATATGTCCTCAGACACCTGAAGCCAAGTTCAGAACCTTTGCACAAAGCAAACCCACGTCAGTAAAGTTTGTGAGAAGAATTTTCAATGAGCTAGAGAATAACTTTACTTAAAATTGACAAGCTTACTGAATGCAGGATGAAATAATAAAAAAGACTAAAATTTCTTTTAATTTACATGGTCTATTTATCCCTAGCATTCAGATTGCAATGGCTCTCTCTCTGGAAGGGAAAGAACATCCACTCATCTGAGCAGCCATTCTGCCAGTGCTCACTGAATCCTTACTATGCGCAGGGTTGAGTCTCTGAGACAAAGCAGGAAGCAGCCAGAGAATGTGAAATCAGTTCAGGTCTTTTGGTTCAGGAACTAGACAGTCAAAGAAGGCTGAGAGTAGACAGTAAACGGAAATATTGTAAAACGTAAGTAAGTTCTAAGAACTGTAAATAGGAAAGGCTCATGGGGTCTGCAGTGTTAAGGAAATAACCATTGTCAACCTCATTGTCCCCTACTACCAGTGCCATCGTTGTCATTAAATAACACCTGGCTGGGCTCTGGTTCCCCAGCGTTCTGAGATGTACTTGCTGTTTTCACTCCCCAAGTCCATCTCAAGGGGTAGAATAAAAGCTTGGTCTCAGAAAGACTCTTGGAGTCTGGAAGATGTAGGGAATTGGCACCCTGAACCCTCGTCACACCTTCCATGCTTAGAATGGAGCCGTTCCTTTCTCGTTCCAGGCCACGGTGTTCCTTTTATGTACAATAGACATGAGATTTGAGCCATCTCTATTTCACAGCTCTGGTTTAGTGAGAGGAGGCGAGTATTTTTTTCTGCTCTTTCCTCTCAAAATGAGCGAAGGCTCTGCAAAGGTTGAAGCCCAGCTAAATGAGGTATCTCAAGGAATGAGTCAGAAGCTGTGGGCAATTACCAAGCTGCAGGGTTGCCATGAGGTGTTCCGAGGAGCCACAGGTCAGTCAGTCTCTGATATAATGCCTTCCCATTTAACACTGGGACCCAGAAGAACGTGAGTCCAAGGTCCACAATTCATTTGCAAATGAGCCACCCTCCACCATGCTCCCAATGCCCAACCCTGCCCAAATGAGTGATTTCCAGTGCCACCCAATGGTGGGATGTTAAGACTCAGATAGATTTTTCGATGCACCTTTTTTTACTCCAAGGAATTCAGTTCTTCATAGAATCTGTCTCAGAAAGTGATGGATAAGACAAGAGAATAGTCATCGATCAATGCCTGCAGGTCTAGATGCCAAAAGTCTGCCCAAGACACTGGAATCAGCAACTCTCCGAGAGCCTTTGCCAAAGCTTTCACCAGAACCACTGCTTCTTAACCAAACAGTGTGTGGTATTCTGCTGTGTGTGGGCAGTACTGGCCTTGCCAAGTAATGTTGTGCTGTCTCAGATCTGCCACAAAGAACATATGTTTGAAAGCTGTGTGCAGTTCTTATAAATAGAATTGCTTCTATGGACTGTACTTAAGAAAGGTGACTTAAGGTACCTGATTTCCCCTGTCTCCAGTTCGGGAGCTATTATCAAGTGCTGTAAATGTATTCACTGGTTTATCGTCATTTCTCTTCTGTCTGCGCGCACCTGAAGGAAAGAACAAGGGGAGGCGTCCAGCAGGTTTGTGATTTCTCTTTCGCTCCATGTTGTTTATAAATCAGATGCCTCGCAGATGTTTTAAATGTGCCTCATGGGTAAAATCGATCAACAAATACGGCCCGATTAAAAGTGACCTTTCACAAGATTGCCTGCAAAGTTTACTGGGTTTTATTGGTCCTCCCCCCCCTTCTTGGGAATAGAAGTATCTTTCCCTAACCCACTCGGTGCTTCTGAACAATCTAGAAGGCCTGGAACATTCAGGGGCATAATAACCACAGACTTTGACTGTTCCTGCCTGCCACTGTCCCAAACAAAAGTCCTTCCAAACTATTCAAATGCAGTTATTGAAAGACCTAACAGGAGAAAAAAAATTAATGGTTGTGAATGTTGCCAGCATGGGCAGCAGTCTAAAATAGACTTTCCTATATAGGGTGCTTGCCTTGTCATCAGATATTTGTCTTTTCTTTTTCTATTTTTATATTTGGCAAAAGGTAAACTAGAGACAAGAGATAAGAACTGTCTGTGTGGGATATTTCCAGCCCAGAGAGCAGTAACATTGACTTGGGTTATCAGTTCCACAGAAGAGGCCTCATCTTCAAGGGGAAAGCAGCCCTTCCACAAATTCCCCCAGATGACTGGCAGTTGCTCCTCTAGAAAGACTCAGAGGAAATAGAAGTCAAGAGAGAAAACTGTCATCTATGGATTAAGTACAGGAGTGGTCTAGATTTGCAAGTAAAGCCTGAAAGCCTGGGGGCAGGAAGTTGCCACACTGAAGTATAAGTAGTAAGAGACAGAACCGACAAGAAATGTGAGATGCCCGGAAAAGGAAGAACATAAAGGCGTACGGGTTTGCTTTTTGCTTGAGTTGTTTTGGTGTTTCCCCATCATCGCTATTTGCTTCAGTAAAAAGAAAACAAGGTATCCTGCTGCCCTGAGATAACTTCTAGTGAGGGTCTATAATGGCATCAACTATAAAATATAGACACAGTGCTGAATTAGTTCTCAAGCTTCCTTTAAAGTGATATGACCCTATTAGCTATTTCTGCATTATTACTATAAAAAAAAAGAAGCAAAGAAAAGGATTCCCTGACCCAGACCATAACTCACTTGCCTTCATCCATGGCAGGTGCTGGATACAGTACAAGACACAACCTTAAGTTCTCCCTTGGGGCAAGTGAGCCAATGTATTCAAGGCCCTCTTTTACTTCAGAATGATAAGAGTTAGAGCAAAGAATGCTAGATATTCATAAGTGATGATCTCCAGAGAGTTTTAGCTACCCGAAGAGTTCTCTTTAAGAGACACCTCTTACCAGAGAACATTAGTCTTTAGTCTTTAGACCAAGCACCATCCTTGCACAGACACCTGAATGTCAAATTGGCCAACTCTGACCATTAGGCCTTTTCCCATGTTCCATACAGACCACACCATCCTCTGTCGTCACTACTAACTCGGGAAACAGTTACACAAGACAATTCCTCACCATTACAAGTTACGTTTTGCTCTTCTTAGAGACATTTAAAGGGCTTCATTTCACGACTCTCTATCTACAATTTACCCAAAGAGTAATTTATCTCCCAAGTCTTGGAGCAGAAACTCTTCTTGGCATGGGTTACAGAACTTCTTGTGGGAGGTTCACCTTTTTTGCTTTCATCCTCCATAATGGAACTTTGACAACCAAAGGAGAAATTATAGATCATGAATCTATGCTTGAATAAACATAACATGACCTCTCTGGCAATCCAGTAATAACACCACCAAAGCTGCATTTCCCCAGTGTTAGTATATCAGAGAACAAAGACAAATTCCAAGCTGAGCTTCTGCTCAAGATCAGAAAATGAAACTTCAACTCAGCTATCACAACTCAAAAACACTTAGCAATCAAATCTCTCAAATTTCATGCGATCCTGTTGTATCTAAAAATGTTAAAATTTATTCAATATACTTGTGACTAAGGTTGTTAAAGAGAGTTCACTTGTAGACTTGAAAGTGTGCAAAGTCACCTGGGTTCATGACTTAGAGAATAATGCTGAGAAATTCTTCACTTCTCAACAGTCATTGAACACTTGACGAAACAACTTTGAAACCATACCTATGCCACCGCTTCATTTCCCAAGCCTCCAACAAGCCAGTCTCTTGCTCCCCAATTACTCACTGTATCTCCCATAAAGGGGATAACAGAGAAGATGCTGAATAAATTAATCTTGCTTGGAAGAATAAAATGCCCCTGACCCCAAGTACTTTTTACAATACACAACCAAAAGGAATAGCAGAGAAATAAATAGAAAGAGATAATGTTAGTAGTTACAATTATTGCAGTGGGACTGGAGAGATGGTGCAGCAGTTGTGAACACATACTGCTCTTGTGGAGGGCCACGTTCAGTTCCCAGCATCCATGTCAGTGACCCCATACCTGTAATTGCAGTTCCAAGGGATTCTCCACATTCTGTTTTGGCCTCCG